CTCCTTATTTGTGGAAAATATCCTTTTTTGTGCTGGCCCAGGTTATTTCTGTAGTCTGTGGTGTACAGTCTTTAAATTCTAAAGGGAGCTGGTTGAGCTCATGTGGAAATGCTAAGATAGAGAGAGAGATAAAAAGAAAGGAATGGAAATAGGTAATCTCAGAACCTTCTCTGGTGCTTATACTACTAAAGAGAAGGAGACACAACTGTACATGACTTGCTCCTCCTGTCCCCAACACACATTTCATTCATGACTCCTGGCAGCACCATTTTCAGTGAAAACAAATGTAATATTCTTTCCATGTCTTTCCTATTTCTCTTGTTTGTATTTTTGAGAGCAAGCTTCGCTGTCCTTTGTATAATGACAATATAGAACAATCTTAGAAACCAGGCAAGTGAGAAGATGATGAGCTTTTAAAAAATCTCCATAAAGATTTATTATCAACCCTTTAAAATAAAGCCAGAAATAAGTGTGTTGATGACACATTACACACATGGATATTGAACATTTGACACATGCACTCATCCAACACAACTTTGTGCAGTACAGAATCACTTGAAATGGTGCAGGTTTAAGTTGATGAAATCTAAATAACTATTTCTATTACTGTAACTCATTTTCAACTTGATAATCGTATTGTTCCCAGTCAGCTATTCACTGTAACAGGAAAAATAAGAGACCCAGAGACTGATTTGGGGGTTCAAGCTTTAAGATGAATATTAGAAAAGTAAAGTAGCTGGCCCTTAGGTCTTTATCACTACCTCAGGCTGAATAGATTGATCTGCTGCCTCTCCTCAGTGTGACTGAAGACTCCTGAGACTGAATGTCTTCCTATCCTCAGTGTGACTGGAGAATGAATCTCCATATTGAGACCTTGCTCCTGTTTTACATACCTCCCTAATGCTAGGATTAAAGGCATGTAATCACGTTTGCTGATATAATACTGGTGTGAGATGTTTCTCTGTAGGACTGGGTCAATCTTGTGTATTACTTGGTGGCCTTGAACTCACAGAGATCCATCTACTTCTTAATCCTGAGTTCTAGAATTAAAGGAGTGTACCATCACCTCTTTCCTTCTGGTTGCTGGGATGGAGTGTGCCTAGCTTCTATGGTTTTTGGCTGACTTTGCTTTCTGAACCCTCATTCAAGCTTTTAATAAATCATAAATAATGTATCACCACAACTGAAAAATCAAAGAAAAGATTCTTGGGAGGATTTATATGATTCCCAAGAAGCAGTGTATATGCTGTGTTCTGTGGTCCTCCTACTAAACATATAGAACATTCTCTGAGGTTTCTGTGAGGCCCTTCACACCCCACAGAGCCCCACCTGTAATAATATACCTCATATTAGTCTGCCAAGGGTGCTTAGCAGTGAGTGTACACAATTGTATTACTACCAGAGAAACACAAATCAAGTTTCTATATCCCAGATACCAATCTCAGTGAATGGTACATTAGGTACATTATAAGTTATTGTTAGACAATTATCTAGCACTGGATTTGTACTTTTAAAAGTTGGTACCAGAACACCTTCACACAAGAGGACATGGATGATAGTCACATCCCACTAGAGATATGCTATGCCTAGCCTGAGGTTTTCTGATGTGACTACTGGTACTCAAAGTGTCTCTAGTTTGGGAAGACTTACTGGATAATTTCAGAAATCTATTTAGCAATGATGAGTAAATTTGATTCAGAAATTGATAAGAGATTAATGGTTGCTGGAAATGTGCCTTTTTTTAAATTTCATACCATGTTTTTATTTTTAAAGGGATTTGAGAAACAGCATTAGGGTCCCTTAGCATGAATAAAATCTGGGACTCATCTGTTCTGTCACGTGGATGCCATTGAACAGAATCTTTTACATTTTTCCTGTTAAATATTTCAGGCAGTGATTAAAAAGTGCTAATTCTTATGTGTGTGGCACTTAAGATTTTATAAATTGCTATGCAAACATTACTTTAGTTAGGGTCGGCATCTGAGGCAGAGCAAAAATTATTATCATCATACCTGCCTCTGTGGAAAAGAAAATTGGACCATCATGATCCAGGATGAGTTTTTGAAGGGCATTCTGCCAGTGGACGGTAGCACTGAGATTGGCGAGCCATCTTCTTAGTTCTACGGCCTCCGTTCTCTCATCTTCACTCGGAGGCTCACAGGTCGAGATGGGTCTTGAACAGTCCCTCAGGAGTTTGAATTGGGGAGGAGTGGAATTCATATTGTATCAGAAGTAGGCTCTCTCCAGCTTTAAAACATCTAAAAGTTTACATTTGAATTGTAGTATAGGTGGTTAGTGTTAACCATAAAGAATTGCATACTGCAACTTAGAACAAATGTTCCAGGTTCCCAGTGACCCTGGAATTATCTAAATTGTTTTGTTGGATACAAAGTTTATGTCCAATCAGTTACATCGTGGTCAAGTAGATATTTTTGTTTATTTATTTATTTTTGTTTTCTTTCTTTTCCTTTTTCTTTTTCTTTTCTTTGGTTTCTCAAGAAAGGGTTTCTCTGTTTAACCCTGACTGTCTTAGAACTCACTGTGTAGACCAGGCGGGCCTCACACTCACAGAGAACTGCCTACTGCCATTAAAGGTGTATGCAACTGCTGTCCATCAGGCCTAGTGAATCTTAAAATAGTTCATGTGCTCCACTAACACATTGGGATCCTGTATTGAATTACCAAATCCTGTAAAAATGCGTGGTATTGTTATGCATAGTTAACACAGCTTAATGTTTAAGTCTGCAGATTGATATATAGATTATGTAATTAGGCCCTAAATTACTTGAGTAGATCCACACAATAGACAGAAGGAAAGTTTCTTTATGTGAAGTTTCTTTTGGTTTTATATGTTAGCTTCCTTCCTTTCTTCTGTCCTTCCTTCTTTCCTTTGTTCCTACCTTGCTTCCTCCATTCCTTCATTCCTTTCTTTCTTCCTTCCTTCCTTCATTTTACATTCATTGATCCTCTAAAATTCTCTAGGCCCCTTGTTAGGTATGCTGGGAATCAACGGTGGCAGTAGAGTAGCACTTCCTCCTTGTTCCGGTAAGCATACAGATTGGCATTTATGAAATCAGTGGTGCAGGGTGAAGACAGCTCATGGTTGAGTGGTCCCCTTGATGATTTCCCTTCCTGGTCAAAGTCTCCTTGTGCCTGTCCTTGGCTAATGGGGGCATCTTTACCTATTGAGTAAAAGTATCATTCAGGCTAACTGAGATCTTGGTTCATAGACGACTTACATTACATGTAAGGATGTTTTAGCATTATTAGTGATTTAAAAAAATAAGAATTAGCCAGAATTAGGGAGTAAAAACGGATGAATGCATTGCTCCAATGAAGTGTTAGCTATGTTAGATGAAACACTAGTATGTTTAAAATCACTGGGAAAAAGTTCATGGTATATAGCTACTTCAAGGTATTCAGGGTTTTGCTTCTGGATCTCTTACTATATTCTAGAGTTCTAGCATGCCCAAGTTGCTGTTATAAAACTGTTTGCACATAACCTGTGTGATCCCCCTCCTGTGTACTTTAAGTCACCCATAAGTCACTTGTATTAGCTAATAGATCACTTGTAACAGCTAATAGCATGTCAGTGTTCTCTGGATATTTTATACACTGTGTTGTTAGGGGTAAATGACAGGAAAAACCATCTGGACACACTCAGTTCAGATACAGGATTTTTTTTCACAATAGTTTTGATCAGTATTTGATGGAGTCCATGGGTGTGGAGGTGACAGTGCATAGGTGAGAATACTTATTAAAATGGGGAAAAGATACAGAGCCATGTCTTGAAATGTACAAGACTGTAACTGATGTTGAAGAATTTTGCCCATACTCCTAAAAAGTTGCAATAGCTGCACTTGTACAAGCACTGTAATGGATAAAATATGCTTGATGACACCACATACTAGTGTATTTTATATTTGTATTGCAAAGTAGCACTTTACTCTGAATTGCATAAAAATACTTCTTAGTAGTATAGTCAGTTGCAGTTTACATTAGGGGTATGTCTTGAGACACAACAAGAAATGCGGTGGGGAGATGAAGGTCAGATAGTGTCATATCCCAAGACCATGGAGCATGAATGTTGTATAGCTCTTCACTGAGGGCTTTAGCCATGAGTGGGTTCTCATCCTCCCTAGATGTACAGTAACACACCCAGGAAGCCAGACCATTGTCACAGCTCAGAGGTGTTGGCATAAAATGGGTGCTATTAGCTACAAGGCATGTCCCCTCTTGGGTGTAATTCCCAACCCCAGAAAAGGAAAGACAACTGTCCTTAATAAGCTGGCTCCAATGAATGCCAAAGAAAATTTGTCTTATGAAATGGAAATTCTGAAGCCAGTTATGTAATTGTGAGTGAATAAATAGAAAGAGGTCTAAAGTAGAGCCAAATGGGGATAGATGGCCTGTTGAGTTCAGCATTTCCAGTCCAGGAGTACTTACTCTATTTGGTGAAATCCAGGTCTCCTTGAGATGTGAGATGTTTTCTCAACCACACAAATGTGAGGTTTTTATTTATATGATTTTAAGAAGTGACATGCTTCAACTTAACATTTTTAAAAGTGATTTGATTATTGTCTGACCTGTAAATCCTCAAACTTAGCCGTATTAATTATTCTGTACATCTGGTGTCACTTATAAAGTGATCATTTTCTCAGTAAATTGCCATTTCCTTAAAATGACGGCATTACTGTGAATGATGAACTTGAGGCTCTAGCTTAAGCATCCGTGAATTCTTCCCATAGAGTGAATTCACACCTAATCCAATGTTTCTCCTCATCTTGCCCCTTCTCTCTGCTGCATGCCTCTTCACTTCCCTCCTCATCTTCATCTAGGACTTTATTATCCCCCGCCTAGGGTGTTACTCAGTGTTATGACTGATGCAGCTTCCTTTGTTGTTGCCTCATTCCTTCAGGTGGATCCCCCCCTTTCCCAATAAAGAATATTATCATATAGATCATACTCTCACAATAGTTTTTGGTATGTTTCCCTTGCAGGATCAATGTGACTCTAGAAACAAATGGATGAATGAATATCCATATGAAGAGGAAAACCATAAAGGTTGGTTACCGGATGTGACAGCATAGGGAGCATTACTATTCTGTTGAGTGGTGCTGCAGGCAGTCACTAGAGCATTTCTTTGCCTGAGTGAGATAGAGACCAGTCAGTACACACCATCACCATACATAAAGTGTAGTTGTTCTCTCTGTCTCCTTTAAAGATATTTATAAAGAGGCAATGCCTTTTACTCTTTGTGCAAGCATACTATCAATATTTTCCAGACTAATTTTTGTACAATGCCTCATGTATGCTAGGCTGGCTTCACACTCACCCTGTACTGAGCAAGACTGTGAACTTGGGATCTCCCATCTCCTTGGTGCTGAGGTTGCAAGAGCGCTTCTCTGATTCTGGTTGACTTAGTTGCTAGGGTGTGAACTCAAGGCTTTTTGCTTGCTACACCAGGTGCATACCAGGTGAAGTAAATCTTCAGCCGTTAAGTTTGTATTTTAAGAATCAAATTTTAAATGAATATCAAAAATGAAAAATGTTTGATAATGACAGATCACTGAGGAGAGAGAGAGAGACAGAGACAGAGAGACAGAGAGAGAGAGAGCACATCATATTTTACTTAATGTGCATAAGTCTCTATAAGCATACTGTAAACACAGTGCACGACCATGTTCAAGTACTGTCGTCTTTCTCCCTGGAGTATATTTGATTTCCTAAATACAGATGGAGCCTAATTGGAAGAAGGTCAAAATCTGTGAGTTGCAGTGCTAGTCCAGTGAGTGCATTATTTTGTTTGTGGTAGATATACGAGCTTTTCACTCCCTACTAGTTATAAAAGCTCTGGGTAGTAAGAAAAAGTTAGAGTCTATTAAATAATCTCATTCCATAGAGACTTAAAAGATCAGCAGATTCAGCACAGACATTTGCCTTTAGCTGGTTATGTGGCGGCACAACACACAGGATTCATTGTTCTTCTTCTTCGGGTGTGTTTACTCTTTTCACACAAATTTATATCTCGGGGTGTCTTTCTCTGCCAGCCCTTTCTCACAGGTTCTTATAAATGATTTTCCATAGTAGATATTCCTCTTTATAGTGGCATTCTTCCACACTCACTGGTTTTTTTCCTGTCTTTCCTTTTTACTCTTTGTGTCTGCAAAGTTTTCACAGACGGCTTAAGGAATCAGAGATGGTAGCCAGTAAATTGATGGGGAGAATTGACAATATCCCCATTCTTTGTGACCTCATTATTGCTGCTGTGGGCACATATTCTTGCTGAGGGTGAACAGTATCATGATCTTCTTGTGTGGAGGGCAGTGACACGCTAGACAGCTGGCTCTCTGTGAAAGAGGAAGAGGCATGGCCTCGTTTTTCATTTTCTTTTCTTTTTCAGTGTTCATAGTGTAAATACTTCCACTGTAGTTGGCTTTAGTAGTTTACCAGCTGGATAATTCCTTAGAATTTAACAGTTGCATTTGATGAGCTGGTGATGAGCAGAGTCTAGCACATCATTAATAATTCCATTTCTATGCTAAAGACAAATATTATTCCTTGAGACTACTGGAATAAAACTAGTAAATTTGCATTGTGTTACTTCACCTTACATGGATATGTATATGTATACACATATACATACATACATATATACATATATATATTGTATTTGAATGGATCAGAGTTAGCTTTATGAATTTATAATTTTTGGCAGTGTCATCGTTCTGTATCTAATTCTAGGATGACAGCTGAAGATGATCACAGAGCCAATTGTCCTGTCAGTACTTGGCTCAAAGGTAAAGTGAAAATATGATTGACTGTGGTATGCTGTATGAGATTCTTCCCGAATGACCACACCTTGTTGCTCATTATTCATGAGTTTCAAAGTCTTTGTCTGGGGTAGGAGCAGTGAGTATTTGATTACTGTTTTGTTTTCTTTCTTTAGGGGGAGGGTCTGGGCATGAATCTGATTGTAGAGTGTTTCCTTACTATATCCATAGCCCTGAGTTTGATCCAGTACGCCATAAACTGGGGGTTGTGACTACTGTAATGTAGCAAGGAGTTTGGGGGAGGCAGGAACAGCAAGAGTAGAAGTCACCCTTGGCTGATTTTTCTGTGTACTTTTTTTTGTTGTTGTTGTTTTTTTGGGGTTTTTTGTTTGTTTGTTTGTTTGTTTTCGAGACAGGGTTTCTCTCTATTGTTTTGGAGGCTGTCCTGGAACTCGCTCTGTAGACCAAGCTGGCCTCGAACTCACATAGATCCTCCTGCCTCTGCCTCCCCAATGATGGGATTAAAGGCATGCACCACCAAAGTCCGGCTTTTCTGTCTATTTTTAATAATGATTTCCCACCATAGTTTAGACAGCAGTTTCCCGTGCATAGAAAACACACAGACATATTTTTAGTCCCTTATGAAAGTTGTGGCTACTTTAACAACTCTTGACTCAGGAAGAAAACTGTGGCTTGACCATGCCACAGTATAGGAAACTCTGTCAGCGGGAGTCTTGAGGGGAGGGCCTAGGCCCTGCCCTGGATGAAATGATAGTTACTGGAGATACACCATGGAGTGCCTCACCCTCCTTGGGGATCAGACTGGAGATTGGGTGGGGAATTGGGGGACCTGGTGGGGAGAGCAGGGAAAGGAGGGAAGGGAGAGGGAGCTGGGATTGACATGTGAAACAAGTTTGTTTCTAACCTAAATAAAATATATATAAATAGAGTGGAAACATAAAAAAAAAGAAAAAACAGAAAACTGGCTTGAAAGTCCATTGTTTTTTCTTTAAATTAGAAACAAGCTTGTTTTAAATGTCAATCCCAGTTCCCTCTCCCCACTTCCCCTGGTCCCCACCAGCCCCCTATCCCATCCTCTTTCTTCTACCCAGGGACAGTGAGGCCTTTCATGGGGGATCTTCAAAGTCTGTCATATCATTTGTAGCAGGGCCTATCCTCCCCACCCATTCGTGGACTAGGGATAAATACTGATCCACTGTCAGAGGCCCCATAGATTGCCTAGACCTCCTAACTGACACCCACATTAAGGGGATCTGGATCAGTCCTATGCTGGTTTCCCAGCTGTCAGTCTGGGATCAATAAGCTCCCCCTTGTTCATGTCAGCTGTTTCTGTGTGTCTCACCAGTCTGGTCCTGAGCCCTTTGCTCATCACTCCTCCCTTTCTACAACTGGATTCCAGGAGTTCAGCTCAGTGTTTAGCTGTGGATCTCTGCCTCTGCTTCCATCAGCTACTGGATGAAGGCTCTAGGATGCCGTGTAAGGTAGTCATCAATTTCATTATCAGGGAAAGGCATTTAAGGTAACCTCTCCACTATTGCTTAGATTGCTAGTTGGGGTCATCCTTGTACATCTCTGGGCATTTCCCTAGTGCCAGATTTCTCTTTAAACCTATAATGACTCCTTCTACTATGGTATCTCTTTTCTTGCTCTCCTTTGTTCTTCCCAGGACTCAATCTTCCTGCTCCCTCATGTCCTCCTGTACCTTCCTCTTCTCCCCATATTTACTCATGCATATATGAATTTTAGACACAGAGCAATGGATTTCCAGCCTACAATCCACACCACCAGAGAAACTAAGAAACAAGGAGGATCCTAAGAGAGACATACATGGTCCTCTGGAGAAGGGAAAAGGGACAAGATCTCCTGAGTAAATTGAGAGCATGGGGGGAGGGGAGAGGGAGTTAGGAGAAAGAGAAAGGGAGAAGAGGAGGGGAGAGGAGGTCGTGTATTTTTTTAAATATTGATGAGGTCAATATTAAGACCAGGTTTTGAAAACTATCACTCTAAGCAGCTTTCCTATTATCTGCATAATTGAAAAAGGGATTTGAATGTGACTCTAGTTCTTTTCTTCAATTCCAGCTTTCCATTAGTGATAGTGTCTTGCCAAGAGCCACGGAATATTGTGCTGTGTCTCTTGTCCTCAGTTCTAAAATGCAAATTCTTTTCCACATTAAACTTCATTGCACTTGAGTCTTCTCTCCACCATGGGTCATTAGAAAACCTCAAATAGATTTCCAGAAGATACAAGCCAACCATTTTGTCATGCCCACAAATATTGTTGTTAAATGGGTGTTTATTCATGGATGCGCTTCCATAGATGCTCTCACAGTGAGCATGGCACCTTCTGTGGATGTGGTTCCTGGCAGCTTACACTTCCAGGAGCTCAGATTTGCTAGGAGCTTCTCATCAACTAGCTTAGAATACGTGTTTAAAACACACAGCTGCATATACATCACTTCAACCATTTGAAATCCAGGTGAAAATGTCAGCTAGTCATCAATAGCTTTTTACAATATCCAGCATCAGCACTGTGTGATATGGATTCATTACAAGTGGATATCAAGAAGACAGTAGCTAGTCTTTTCATTTCCTTGCATACCAACAAGTCTATTTCACAGTGATGGAAATGTGAGGAGTGGCTAACAAATTCCTCATCATGTCTCCAGGCTTGATCTTCAAACAGAACAAAGGAAGACGGTGGAATCCAGAGTTCCTTCCATCTTGATCTTGGTAGCTCCAGATGCTCAGAAAGCAATGGGGGATGAGAAATAACCAGGGCCCTCAGCCTGGCCTGTGCTAACCTTCTTCAGGGAAGCTACATTATCTTGTGAATGTAGAATAAGAAAATGGCCAATCTTGGTTCTACCATTCTCTCATGTGATCTTGGATTTCTCCTTTGTGAATTTAAAATGTCTCTTCTGCAAAGGAGAACTAGTACCAGTTGACCTATATATTTTTTAATTTGTTTTACAGTGTGGGGATAGTTTGCTCAGTTAATAAAGTTGTTGCCTACCAAGCATCAGTCCTGGGTTTGGTCCCTGTGCCTGTAAAACTTACACCATGTCTTTTGCCTGTCCTCTCAGCACTGCAGAAGTGAAGGCAAAAGAATCAGAAGTTTAAGGCAACACAGCAAGCCTGAGGCTAGCCTGGGACACATATTACCCTATTAAAATAAAAGGAAAGCAAAAGAAAAACAAAATAGCAACAAAAAAGCCACTCCTGACAAAGATATGAAACTATGGTGCTCTGACTGGTATTGACTGATGTTTG